TTTTTTTCTTTTCTTTCTTATATATATATTAATATTAATATTACTGATTTTCTTGTTTTTTCCTGGTTACTTATGGTGAAATTTTGCATCATGGAGAATTCCGTTATGAATTAACAGCAGTTATCCTTAATTCGCGTTCGAATATTGAAATAATGAAGTCTGCAATATTTTCCTACAGATTGCCTTTCTTGTTCTTCTTTTCGCTCTTTTTGTTTTTGTTGGCTTCCCTTTCATGGTAGTCCTTTTCCCCTGATTTCTCGTATGTGAAGCCTTTGATATACTGGGAGCTTATGAGTAGAGTCAGCCATATCTAGAGTTATTTGAAAATGAACGGTGACTTCTTTTTCAGCTAAGCTCACCCGGGTACAAAGTAGAATACTAGGCTAATACTGAGTCTTGTATACAACCAATGCATCACACATTACTACATATATCCATGTTTACATGACTTTCTTGATCACACAACTCACTTTTTAGAGCTTATTATTCAATTTAATCGGCCTTAGCATGTGGATTAAGGTTTGAGGAGAAAGAGGTGAAAAGGCATGTTGTGTACTTGTTTTGGCCTCATTTTTGTATTCTGTAGCTGAGCCTTAATTGTTGTGAAGAATATGCTGAAATTGGAGTAAGTGCTGGACCTTAGTTTCAACATTTAAGGCATAGCTTGGGCTTGTTAAGTTTTGAGAAAAAAATAAAAGATAGAAAAAGAAGGCTACATTTCCTTTTTTTAATGCTTATGTGTATTTTATTGCTGCTTATGTGTGTATTTTCAGAGCTTTACTTCTTCTTTTGTGTCCTTTTAAGTGTTAGTTGATTTGAATATTTGTGCCTAAAGAAAAAGAATGAGTTTGCCCCCTAGACCTAAATGAGCCGAGTTGGACCGGGTTTGACCAAGGGTTTACTGTCCGGTTCAAGCAAAAAAAAAAAAAAAGAAGAAGAATTCTGAGCCTTAGAATTTGATCCGAGAAACCGGGTCGAGCAGAGAGAAGTCAAGATAAGAAGTTTGAAATTTATGTGTTTATCTATTTTAATTGATTGAATTATGTGTTCTTATTTGCAGTACGTGCCTTCAGGATTTTAACTATTTGTTCTGAGTTTTCAATCAAAACCCTACTAATAAGACTTAATAAACGAAATTCAGATTAAGAGGAGTCGATCCCTCAAGCAGACGCACGTGCATTCATACCATCCAAGTGCAGTAAGTTGAAAAGGTGGGGTAGTCTATACTATGTTTTATTCTTTGTAATTAATGTAATTATTATGGTTCCCCCAGGTTACATGATATATTCCGCCCGCAAGGGCAAAGGCCGATAAAAAGGCAAAGTATTTATGTCCACCTATGAGACGGTGATGCCACGAATGTCTGTGATGCCACCTATGAGACGACAAAATGTTATGATGGTTTATGTTTCATGTTGTTATTATACTATCCGCTAATTATTCTGAATAACTGAATGGGAGTTGTATTAGATCTTTGACAAATGAATTTAACCAAAAGTTTATGTTGGAACTTTGAAAACAAAATAAGAAGATAATGTTTTGATTTCTAACAGCGTCATCAAGTATTTCCACTTTATATCGTTCATTTTTAGTAACAGAAATATCTTCTTGCAGCATCATCAACACAATCAATACGGATGTACTAGCTAGTTATGGTCAGCTCGACGAAAGGATTAAGGAAAAGAAAGAGAAAATACCATCCGATAGGAACTTCAACATGGACACGCTTGATGTGGAACCTAATAATACAGAAACCACCCTCATGGAAACTGACCCCCAGAGTGCAGATACAGTGCCAAGTCCCAAACGGACCATATCAAAGGGGGGTTAATCATTGAGGAATTAGACAGTGGACCACCTGATGCTAAAGATGCTGCACCTGGTATATAGTTATATTTTTTTCGTATAGTCATTATACTTTTACAAAATTAGTTGGGTTATCTTTTTCTTGGTTGATTTTATTATGATGCCACTGCTATGATTGAAATTGAACTCCGATCAGATCAAAATTTATTACTCGACCATGGTGAAGGACACGGGGCATGCTTTTGATTCAAATGTTGGTAAAGATGCTCTGTGTTTTCTGTTGGGCGATGAAGAATTCATTGATGGTTGGAATGTTTGCATAGATGGTAACTACTTGTGAAGCCTGCTTGCTACTTTTTTCTGTATTTATTTATTTATTTATATATTTATTTCAGGTTTAATTTGTAATATTTGAACATGATATCACTTAGGTATGCGTATTGGTGGAAAGAAGAGGCTTATTGTCCCACCTTCAATGGGGTATGTTTCAAATTTTCTTAAGGCAAAAACTTCTATCTGTCTTGAATTTTTTTCAGAAGGGTTCTTTTTTTTTTTCCCCCCTTTTCGATCAGCAGTTTCAAATTTTCCCGAAACTTCTATATGTCTATTAGGCAAGTCTTGGAATTGGAGATGCTACAATGAGGTCAACAGTGCAGTGTAATGTTGGTAGAATCTTGCTCTGTGTGTTGATGCCTGAAAAAACGGAGTCTTGCCATTTAGATTTGGAATTCGAGGAGGCTGACGATGTTGTCTTTTCTGTTATCGGCTCACGAACTGTGTACCTCAGTGGTTATTACGTCCAGAAAGTTCAGGGCGTATGTCCGCACAATGAATCGTATCCTTATTTTGCGTTCTCTTTTTATGCTGTTAATGTTGTTTGAGTTTGTTAAACATTTATTTAATTTGTTTAAGAGTTTTGAATTCGTAGCTTCCTTTACTTCTTAGTTGGGGTGTGAGGTCGGTGAAAAGTCAAAAGTTAGAAATGAAAAGAAAAAGGCACTAAAAAAAGAACAGGAAACTAAAAAAGCGCTCAAAAAAGGAGGAGAAAACCCACACCATTCAAGCAGCCAAGGATAACAATACTGTTCTGGCAGAGGATAATGTGCACGAGGTTGAGGCTTTCACTATTATGTAAGAACCTTGTGTGTTTGATCTATTGGTAATGGTCTTTCCTAATGTTGTATCTTTATCGTGTTGAGTTTCCTTCTAACATTAAGTACACTCTCAATCATGGATTTCAGTGGAAATTCTAATGATGATCAAACAAAGAAGAGAAAGAGTGTACTGCAGCTGGAAGGAATAAGTGTAAATGGAACTGATAATCAATGTGGTTTACAGCATGCTGAAAACCATACTCAAGAACAACCGGGGTTAGAAGAAGAAATTGGTGAAGAATATCAGGAGATACAAAAAGAGGGTAATTCAGTGCAAGTATTGCCATATGGTGACAGCTCTAGGGATGATCTTCAAAAAGAAAGGGGAGAAAATCAAGACCTACAGATTAATAAGTCAGTACGCATCTGCCTTTTCTTTTATTTAGATTTTTTTTTCTCTTGTTTCGTTTCACTTGCATATATAATAAGACAAGATCACTAGGTAGGAATTTGGTCATTCTCTTTATACTCTGAAATACTATTTAGGTAGAATCTGACAACTGGTAAGCTATGATTATAATGATTGCAACTTAATTTGGAACTTTTGAACTTAAGGAGAAATATTAGATTTTTGACAAATGAAATTAACCAAGAGTTTATGTTGAAATTTGGAAAGCAGAATAAGAAGATAATGTTTTGATTTCTAACAACGTCATCAAGTATTTTCACTTTATATCGTTCATCGTCTGCGCATACGGAGATTTTGAATAATTTAACAAGATAATAGGGGGTTAGAATAATACATTTTAATAGGGGGTTGAACATAGAAGAGAAAAGAAAAAAGCAAAATAAAATCAAACTGTTCTGATTCTAAAATGTATTTCAGCTGGACCATTAGCTTTAGACCCCATTTCTTATATTTCAATCTACGCCTCTTTCCATTCACGCAAAAACCCAAAAGGTGGAAGAGGAGAAAATATCAAAGCGATGAGGTTATCTTCGTACACTAA